AAATTCTCTAGGCTTTCTTTTTAGGGGAGTGAAGTATGCAGAGTGAGGCTGCAGAGGGGCTGAAATAGAAACACAGTGTTAGAGGTGGAAGAAACTTTAGTGTCCCTCTGTCCAAAGTCGGACAGTCAATAAATATTTATTAAGCACCTACTATGTGCCAGGCATTGTGCCAAGTGCTGGGGATACAAAGGAAGGCAAAAGAGAGTCCCTTTTCTTAAGGTAATCAAAGTCTAATGAGGGAGACAGCATGCAAATGACCAAGTACAAACAAAGGGCAGATAGGATAAATTGGAGATAATGATCAGATGGGGCATTAGAATTAAGGAGGATCAGGAAAGTCTTCCTTTAGAAAGTGGGATTTTAGAGGGGACTTGAAGGAAGCCGGGAGGCAGAGACAAGAAGGGAGGGCAACAACTGGGGAAAATGGCTGGAGTCCGGAGGGTCTTATCTGAAGAACATCAAGGAGGCCAGTATCACTGGATTATATCATATAATCTTGCAATTGGAGTTGGAAGGGACCTTAGAGATCTTTTATTCTGATTCCCTTATTTTCTAGAATCTAGATGAAGAAGTTTGCCCAAGGTCACCCAGACAGTAAGTTGCAGAATCTATATTTGTTGAGGTCCTTTGACTCCAAATCTAGAGCTCTTTTCCTTATACCATGACTCTATTACACATGGGGAAACTGAGGCCCACAGAGAGGTTGTGACTTGACCAAATTCTTACAAGCTGGTTGTGGCAGCATTGGAACTAACTTCCAGGTCTTCTGACAGTCAGTCCTGGGCTCTTTAAATAGCAAGGCTCCCTTCTTTTATAGATTGTAAGCTCTTTGAGGGGACAGCTAGGTGGTTCAGTGTAGAGAGGATGTGGCCTGTAGTTAGGGAGACTCATCTTTCTGAGTTCAAATATGGCCTCAGACACTTACTAGCTATGTGACCTTGGGCAAGTCACTTTACCCTGTTTGCTTCAGTTTCCTCATCTGTCAAATGAGTTGGAGAAGGAAATGGCAAACCAGTATCTTCACCAAGAAACCCCCAAAGCCTGTCATGAAGAGTTGGATATGACTGAACAATATCAAACTGGTTGGGGATGAGGAAGGGCTTCCTTTCTGTATTACAGCCACCCATGAAGTGGATCTTCTTTCATGCAAAGCAGTGCAGTAAATATTGTTGGTGAATTATAAATAGAAGAAGAAATAGTCACTTATGTGTCTTTATTCAAGGTCCCCTTCAAAAGTGATTCTTTGCCACCAAATCTAACAAGTTTAAAATTCTACCATTAAATACTTGTGCTTCTGTATCTTGAAATCTTTTGAGACTTTTATGAATATCCTACTAAAATACAGTTATCTCTTGGAGAGATAAACCCTTTTCCTAACACTTTACTTAGATAGCTGACAAGAGAAGGGGAAATGAAAATGTGTGAGGGGAGAAACTCTCAAAGACAATGCTGCCTAGTAGCCCTGCCCCAGGATATACCAGATTTTTGCATGACCCTGCTTTGCTCTCTTTTGACACTTAGAATCCAAGAAAAAAAAAAGCTGGATGGAATTTTAGAGGAATTATTTCACTCAAATCATTTATTGGGTAGATGGGATATCTGAGTTACAAAGAAGTGGAGGGACTTCCAGTAACACAGGCCACTAGTGGCAGATCTGGACGTGGAAGCCAGGCCTTCTGATGACAAACCCAGGGCTCTTTCCACTGTAGGAGAGAACAATCTATTGAAGGTCCACGGATGGTTGTTTCCACTAGATAGCTCATTCCACAGGGAATGGCTCCTTTTGCCTTCCATCCCCATCTAGTAACAGGTTGTGCCTATGTAAGTACAAATCATCTCAGAGAAAAAAGAGAAATTTCAGGGGCAGAATGGTATAGTGGGGAGTACACTGGTGTTCCCACTAGAAGACCTAGGTTTAAGCAGGCTACTGATTACCTATATGACCTGGGGCAATAAGGCTTGTTTCTTCATCTGTAAAATGGACAGCACCTTTCCTGTCCTTCTTATATAATGGCTGTTGGTAAGCTCTAATGAGAGAATGTATGTGAAAGCCCTTGCAAAGTGCTATATACAACTGGAGAGGTATCATTGTGGGGTTTCCACATAGCCAGATGTTTGGCTTCGTAGAAGCAAAATTATCTGGATGATCATCTTTTTCACTGTTTTGCTTCACATCGGCATTGCCTAAGCAATTGCAGAGGTTAGACCCAAGTTTAGAAGTAAGTGGTACCGAGCAGGTTTCTCCGGGTTGTTTTGGGAAAATCATCTAGTTCAGCAGCTCTTAATCTTTTTTTATGTGGCATCATGGTCCTTGTAAATAGCCTGGTGAAGTCTAGGGACTTCTCAGAATGATGCTTTAAAATCCATAAAGTAAAATACAGAAGATTGCGAAGGAAACATCGTTCCAAAACAAAGATGTAATTTTTGTAAATGGCATCCAAGTTCACAGATACTCTGAAATCTATCCAGGGGCCAGACTTCAGGATAAGAATCCCCCAGTTTGGATAAAGTTGGGTAGCTTGGTGCACAGTAGCACATGTCCCCCGACTAGAGAGAAAACTTGCCTGGGTGCTTTGAAATATTCCACCCTTCACCAGAGGATGAAAGCTTGTCTGAGAGCAGGAGTTTGTGGAGTTAAGATGGGCTCTCCAGGGACTTTGTGGAGGTCTTCTTCATTGTAAGATAAATAATGTATGATAAGGGTTAGGAAGAGTGGTGATTGATCCAACTGAGTAGAAATGAGGGAAGGATGAGTTGTTAATTGGATGCTTGGGGTTCCTCCTTGTGTACTGGATCACACTTATCTGGGTTTCAAAAACCTGAGAGCAGGGGACTGGTGTGCAAGAGTTTTTGAAATCCTAATAGAAACGTTCGGTTGCAGCTGCAAATAACAAAGCTCATCTTCTCATCCCCATAATACAAGACACTAATTTTCATCCATTAATTGGCATAGGTTTTCCCAGAGAGCTGACTTCTGGGGCTTCCCTGGGATTTATGATCCAGGAAATTCATTTTAAATTGGTCCCCAGACGACCTGATTCAGCCATTGTGTACAACCTCTTTAGGGTTTTGGGAAACAGCAAACAGCCCTCTCCAATGCTTCTTGGATTTTCTTTCCAAAGATGGGTGGGATTACCTGTTGTTGCCCGGGTTCAGTGGGGAAATTCTTGGACTAAAAGCGACAAGTTAGCAGTATCTTGAAATCTATTATTATTATCAAATTTGGGCAGCACTTTCGCAAGGACCTGGAGGCCGTGGGAAATGCCTCCCTCTCGACAAAACTACGTGGATACGAAGTACACTGGTTCTCTATTTTTGTCTCCTGAGAGCCTATTACCGTGGCTTTGCACGTAATAGACGCTTAAATGTTCGCTCTCCTTAACTGAAATTAGTTGAATGAAGACAAAAAACATGGATTGCTTGGTGTTCGAAGCCACCTGTAATATTCGAACTAGGAATCATTCATTGACTGGCAGTACAGCCAACCGTTCCTGGGAGGTAAATAAGTCTATGGGAGCTGAACTAAAGGGAATTTAAGGTGTACGTTGGAAATCTTCTGATCTCTTTTTTTAAGTAGGAAGTCCCGCCCACTATGCTGAGACTTTTAGCCCGTTCTTATATGCATTGTGCTGAAAGCAAACTCGATGGCCTGTTTGTCTGAGATCAGCCTGTAGTCTCCCAGGCCCAGGTGGAGAGATCTCGCTTCTGGGAGGCTGGCTCCACGTTACTCAGTTCCTGTCTCTTTAAATCCAAGTGCAGAAAAGGGGCTGAGAGCGCTTTGGATCTGGCCCTCTCCAGGGGCAGGATTCTCATAAACATTAGGGAGGCAGGGAGAAGAGGGAATGGGGGTCTTATTTCCAGGCCCGACAGAAAACGGGGAGCCCCCTCTTCCCTGATAGAGCTTCCCACCGTCCTCCCCTCCTGAACCTCAGGCAAGCCAGAGCAGAGCCCGAGGCGCCGGAGCGCACCCTAGCCAACTAGAGGAGCTGGGACGGCAGGCAGGCAGGCAGGCCACGCGTGAGCTTTGCAGCTGGGGTTAGGCGAGGCGGGGCGGGGCACAGCGGGGTGGGGGGAGAGGGAGGCAGCTTCCACACTCGCTGTCTCGTAGGGTGAGGGGCGTGAGTGTCCGTGTGTGCCCGTGTGTGTGCCTGTGTGTGTTTGTGTGCGCGCGCCCGTGTGCCAATGGGGCTGCGTGTGCGTGTGTGCGCCCTCGCGGGAGTGTGAGTGCGTGAGAGCGCGCGGCGGGCAGGCGGGCGGGCGGGCCGAGGGAGAGACACCCAGCCACCGACTGCTGCATTGCTGCTGAGCCACGACTCGCTCAGCCCCCAATATGCGGCCGCTGCTGCCGCTGCCGCTACCGCCGCCGCCGCCGCCGCTGCTGCTGCTGCTGCCGCTGAGGGGCCCGCGATCTGGTGGAGATCAACAGCAGAGCGGCGGCTGCAGGTGGAGAGCAGCGCGGTGGGCTTGAGCCGGGTCAGGCTCTCTTCTCCCTCCCCTCCCCTTCTTCCCCTCCCCCTCCCCTCGCTCCCCGGCCCCCCCGCCCGCCTGTCCGCCAGCCGCGGGTCCGCGCCAGGGATTGGCACCGGCTTCTCCCCGACCCTTATTTATGATGCTTTTTTTCTTGGGTGCTCTGCCTGTGATGGTTTTTAGGCGGAGCCGTTTGCACCAAAAACTGTAGCAACTGCTCCCCCTTCTTTCCCCCTCCCCCCATCCCTTCCCTTCCCCTTCCCTCCTCCCCTCCGATACTGGATCAACAGCAGAAGAGGGACGGGTCCGGATCCGCGCAGATAGACAATGAATAATCGCAAGAAATTGACTTGAATTCCCCCGAAGCCGGCGCCGCCGCAGCTGAGGACGGCTCTCTTTTTTTTCTTTTTTCTTCTGTTTTCTTCTTTAAAGACAGAGGGACCACAAACAAACAGTTTGTTTCTTGTACCTTGTTCCTTTTCCCCCCTTTTTCTTTTTCGCCTTTTGGGGGATTTGCAAACCGAATTACATGCATGTCCAGTGGGGGTAGGTTTAATTTTGATGATGGAGGGTCCTACTGTGGAGGCTGGGAGGACGGCAAAGCGCACGGCCATGGGATCTGCACTGGCCCCAAGGGCCAAGGAGAATACACCGGCTCCTGGAGTCACGGCTTCGAGGTGCTGGGGGTCTACACCTGGCCCAGCGGCAACACGTACCAGGGCACCTGGGCGCAGGGCAAGCGTCATGGCATCGGCCTGGAGAGCAAGGGGAAGTGGCTGTACAAGGGAGAGTGGACTCACGGCTTTAAGGGACGCTACGGGGTCCGGGAGTGTACTGGTAATGGAGCCAAGTACGAAGGCACCTGGAGCAATGGATTACAGGACGGCTATGGGACGGAGACCTACTCGGATGGAGGTGGGTGCTGCGCCAGCCCGGAGTGCTTGAGGAGTGGGAGGGCGGTGGGCGAGGAGGGAGGCGGGAGTGTCGCTCTCTACCAGCCGAGAGCCTTCTCCATGTCTCTTTCCTCTGATTCGTTTTATTTGACTGTGTTTTTCTGGGTTCTTGTTGCTAGTTGGGCTGCTGGTGCCCGCTGCCTTGGCGGCGGTGCTGTAGAGGCCCAAAGACAGCCCAGGGAGGCTCCTGGCCCTATCGCCACAGGTTGCTTGCTCCATATGTTCAGTGGGGGTGCAGTGCAGTGGTGGTGCCTGGTGCCCCTCTCGGACTGTGTCCAGGAAGCCAAGGGGAGGGGGGTGGTTTTCCCCTCGTGGCTTAGCATTGATGGGAGGGGGAGAGATGCCAGTGTTCACTGCACCATCATAAACTAGAAGGCAAAGTGTCGGTCTAAGAGGAAGGTGGGGAGGGCCTTACAGGAGAGCTACCCTGCCTGGGGTTTTGTTTTGTGCTCTCTCAAGTTAGGGGGCCTACTGGTGGGTCACTTTGGCAGCTGAGTGGCTGTGCTGGGTCCCCTGGTCCCTTTCCTTCTCTACCAGCCTCCTCATCTCTTTGAAATAGGCTTCCTGGTTTCGGGCCTGAGCTTAGCATCCCAATATCTGGGCTCAGGGATTGGATTCTTGGTTTCATGGGCTTCCAAGGGCCTTCCCAGTTTGGAATCTAACCTGAAAAAATGCCACTGAGAAATTTAGAATGCTGTAGTGGAGGTGGGGGGGGGGGGGGAAGGGAGCAACCCCAGAAAATAACCCAGGCCAATAAACTTGTAGGGGGTTGGACCTAGGCTAATATTGTCAGACCAGGCAGCCTGTGAGGCCCATCTGTTTCTTGGATGCTACTGGAGCTGTGATTGAAGTACTTGCATTAATTTTCACCAGGAGTTTAGGGAATCTTTTCTTGATTTTATTTCTAAGATGCTACTAGAGTCAGGATCAGTTCTAAGAGCTCCAAACGGTGTAGTTTCAAGGCTGTTAATGGCTGTTGGTGTCTGTGATACTGCGTACACTCTTCGCATGTCTCCATGCCCTGACACTCTTAATATTCTCCATAAGTAACATCTGAGGTATACTGAGTGTTGATCGTTTGGGACAAAACAAATCTTGGAAGTGAGTTTCCAACCCCTGTCTTAGTTTTGAGCTCAGATGAGGCACAGGTAGTGGTTTGGTGGAAGCAGCATGTTTATTTTATAGGTGGGAAAAGAGCAAATGCAGTGTTTTATGTTTCTTTCTTGGAGGGATGGGGGTGGATCAGGGAAACACATTCGGATTCTCTGCTTTGGTCCCTTTTGTTTTGGCCACTTGAAAAAAGCTTTCAACACCTACTTGACAGTCACATATACAGAGGTGAGGTAGGGCCGGGAAGTGATGATTATTTTGGCTTATGCAACCCAAAGGAAGGGCTCATTATTAAACAAAGAGGAGGAGTCTGGTGCACTTAATTATATAATTCTCCTGCCTATCAAAACCCTGCCAAGCCCTAATCACAGACCTTGCTTTTGGGGGTAGGTTTAAAAAAAAAACAAAGATGGGCCAAGCTGTGCCCCACTGTGGGATTCTGAAGGAAAAGGAGATGGGTCTTGGATTGCAAAAGCTTCTCTCTCTCTCTCTCTCTCTCTCTCTCTCTCTCTCTCTCTCTCTCCCTCTCTCCCTCCCTCTCTCTCTCTCTCTCTCTCTCCCTCTCCCTCTCTCTCTCCCTCTCTCTCCCTGTGTGTGTGTGTGGGTGATAGGGCTTCAGCAGCAGATGTATGTGGACGGGGGAAGCAGGCAGCTTGCACTTCCCAGCTGGCATGTACCCTGTACAAAGGGAGGAGCTGTAACCCACGGGGCACCAACTAGAGAGCCCTGCAGGGACCCTTTCCCCAGACAGAAAGCTTAGGAGTGCTCCAGAGGCCGGAAGTTCCCAATAGGCTTCGAGAAAAGCTAACCTCCTCCTTAACTCTTTGTGGGTCAGCTTTAGATGTGAGGTGAGGGAGAGAGGGACAGACCGGGTAAAGATCCAGATCTCTTGTGTTAGCGAGAGTCTCCAGAGTCTGATAGGATAAATGATGTAACCCCAAGAGTGAAGCATTGTCTCCAGGTAACCCACAAGTAGGGTAGAGAGGGAGGGTTTTGTGATTAGTTTCTATCTATCCTTTTAGGAAAAGTAAACCCAGCTATAAATGATTGGTCTATGTTTGACACATGCTGCTCAGAAAGTCTGGGGTTCAAAGTGTTAACGAGAGAGATGTTTCTTTCCTGTGGGATCTCATAGGATTTATTGCTCACACATTACCCAAAGCCCTACATAGCTGACCTGGATGTAGCTGAGCCTAGCTCAGGGAGTGAGTAGATGGTTTTCACTATAAATTCTAAGACAGGAAAGTATAAGAAAGAACCACAGAACTTGGAGTCAAGAAGACCTGGGTTTGAATCTCAGTTTTATCGCTTACCAGCCGTGTGAGCTTGGACAAATCATTTCTCTCTCTGGGCCTCAGTTTTCCTTCCTGCAGAATGGGGAGATTGGACAAAATGATTGCTAAGGTTCTTTACAGTGCTCACAGTCTATGAGCCTTGGCTCTTTTAAGTTCTACCCAATAAGAGAAGAGGTAGTTGCTCGGGCACCTGATCTGGGCAGCTTTTTTTTTTTCAATCTGGCTCTGTTGTGTCCATCTCCTTGGACTCTCCACCTTGCAATAATAATCTCTAGATGTGTGGGCCATAATTCCCCACCCCCAATTAGGAAGGAGGTGTCTATTGAAAATTATCTGCCAGTCAGTAACGCACCCATTCTATCACTTCCATCTCTAAGGGAGGCTAGGAGAATCATAGGAACACAGTCAGCCAGAAAGGTGAACTTCCTGTCTAAGGTAAACAATGGTCCCTTGAACAGTTCAGTAATCAACTAGTGGTTAGTGATGGCTTAGGCACAGCAGAGTTTGGAAACCAGCATCCTAATGAATTAATGGTTTTGAAGCTAATGCTGCTTTTCCTTGCATATTAGCTGGAACATGAGGAAAGCTTCAACTCCAGCCCTGCTCCGAGTGCTGACTTGGGGAAACAGTATTTTTCATAAATAATGCACAAATGGCTCATATCCTGCGCATTTAGATGGGATCTGTGTAGAATCCATTTAAAGTGAAGACTTTTTGACCAGGCTTTCCTCCAGTCTCACTCTTTCCTAGGCAACGACACTCATTCCTTATTGATGTGAGATGAGGTTCTCTTGTAGATCATCACCAGGACCTGTTAGAGGCCCCCCAGAAACACACGGGACTTGGGACACAGGTCCCTCACGTGAAATGATGTAGAAATAGAAGCAGGTCCGTTATGTCACTGCCCACATGTGGAACCACCTAGGAAAAAAAAACTCTGCTTTCCCCAAACTTAGTGATCTCTAAGGTCCCTTCTAGCTCCAATAGGCCTTGATTCTGTAATTCCTCCCCATACCCTCTTTTATGTAAACAAATTTTTCTCTTCTCTTCTCCTTTCCTCTCCTTTTCTCTCCTCTTCTTTCCCTTTCCCTCTTTTCACCTTTTCTCCTCTCTTTTCCTCTCCTCTTCTCTCCCTCTCCTCACCTCCCTGTCTTCTCTCCTCTTCTTTCCTTCTCTGTCCTCTCATCTTCTCTCCTCTCTTCCCTCTGTTCTCTCCTCTTCTTTCTCTTTTCCTCTCCTCTTTTCTCCTCTCCTCCCTTCCTCCTCTCCTCCCTTCTCCGTGTCCTCCTCTTCTTTCTCTCCTCTCCTCTTTCTCCCCTCTCCTCTTTCTCTACTCTCCTCTCCCTCTCTTCTCTTTTTCATTCCTCTTCTTACCTCTTCCCTTTATTTCTGTCTCTCCTGTCATACATGTATCTTTCACAGAATTTTCTCCACCTACTTGACCTCCATATCCTTCTCCTAAGGTAAATATTTCCTCCTCATTGCATTGCACACAGGAATCTATCCCTCAGACCCAAAGTCACCCCCTACAAATAAACTCACCCACACCCTGAAAAATGAGTCATCACACACACACACACACACACACACACACACTTCTTCTCCCCCTCCTCCTCCACACATACCCGCATACATCTCTCTCTAATACACACATTCTATACACAGGCCCAGATTACTCATCCCACACACATCACACACACCCACAGTCAAAATTCAGATACACTTCAGGCACATGTGCACATGGGTGTGTGTGGTGCGCATGCTCACTTATGCAGGCACACATACACGCACACACCTGCCACCGAGAGATATTTTTCACCCCATTAGCTGAAACACAGACACAGAAGCTTCCATTCAAGCATTAAACCTTGTCTGTTTCTGAAATATGCACATGAAGACATGTAGTTCCTGTAAAACACTTTCCCCCAAAATATACCCCCTTTCCTTCAAAGCCATACTTGGTCTTTCTCTCACCTCTACCTGTTAAAGCTCATCCTTTAAAGCCAACTCAAGTGCTACCACATCCAGTAAGATTGCCTTGATTTCTAAAGTCAGTAACAGCCTCTTCTTTCTCAATTATTCCATAGAATGTTACTTGTACCTTTCATGTGGATTTAATATAATATTTTGTATTATAGTTATTTCTGTCTTTCATATCACTCTGCTTGGCTATCTCCTCCATGAGGGATGAAGCCTAAGCTGGTAGGTGTCTAGCATAGAGCTCTGAACACAGCAGGAACTGAATTCATGTTTGTTGAATAAATACAGACACAATGTCCTTGAGGAGCCTCAAATTAGTAATGAAATTATGTGATTTGACTTGATTTTAAATTAATGTTTGGATTGTTAATGTACTCTAAAGAAATCATACCACAGCTGCTTGGAAACAGAGTAGCAAAAATTGAAATACTGGGGAAAATTTTCATGCCGTGATAGGTTGCATTCGTCAAAGTCTAGAGTCTGGAAGGAGGGAGGTGATAGTCACACTATGTGCCCCAGCTGGACTGGTCAGATCCTATGTGCAATGTTATTTTTAGTTTGGGTGCCACAGTGTAAG